AATCGAAAGTAAACTCTCTTTTTGATAACAAATTATAATCAATTATAATACATTTTAATCAATTATAATCAATTACTTAACCATAAATTGTTAGTTACAATTATACTCAATTGTAATTGATTATAATCGATTGGTTTTTTATCCTAAATTCTAATACAGATGTTTCCCACAAAAATCTATCAACATTACGAGGCAAGACTGTGCACTGGATAGTCGCACCATTTCGTGTTTGCCTGTTCCAGAATTCCACAGACAAGTCTTCAAACATGCTCTAAATTTTAAGTATGTTCGACTTACAAAATTTACTTGGATTCCGCTCAAAAAAACCTCTAACGGTAATTTTGTCGCTCTCTAATTGTTTTAGCGGATTCCGCAACGAGCGAATACAGGTAGTTGTTCCGGACTTAGCAAATGTAAGCGGATTCCACAAACTTATGCAGGTTTAACTTACATTTTGCAGAATCCACTTACAGTTTGCGGATTCCACTTACGATTCGCTGATCTCACTTAGAGTTACGGATTTCACGGCAGCTTAGGTTTACTGAACACATATATTTTTATTTGTTTACGATTCGACCAACTGTTCTGGTTTCCGTAATTTTTGTTGCGGTTTCTCCAAATTTTGTTGCGGTTTTTGAAGCATTTTTCAGCCATATAGTGTTATAGCTTTTTATCCGTGGAATTCATAACAGCAAGGCATATCAAATAAAATCGCAAAACTGTGGATTCCGCTTAAAGTTCACAAAATGCTCAGTCTGGTCTGGTAATGATAATCGATCATATTAGCTTGTTTGACCTTTTTGTCTCGATCTTGCATCTGAATCATTTAGATTTTATGCTTTTCGTAGACTTTGGCTTATGTGAAATTATTTTCATTACTTCTCTATGGTAGTGTTTCATATTCTATATTTTAAAATTGTACATCCACCAAAATAACAGCACACTGCTTTATTTAAATGAGTTATTCGGAAAAATTATTTTTAGCTTGTAGGAAAGCTTTTAACTAATATGAAGGATCTCTTTGAATTTGTTTTGTGGCTAGGCTTTGTGCTCAGATGAACCAAAGTGTTACAGGAAGTCTCGTTTTTGGAGATTTTGTCATTGATATAAAACAATAACCACCAGGATATAAGAAAAATATATTTTAGGTTTGACAAACCTTTGGCAAAGTAATGGATTATAATTGATTATACTTAACTAAATTGATTTACAGAGCTTTTTGTATGAATTATAATCATTTATAACCGATTTTAAAAATTAATAATCTCCTGAAAATTAACACGATAATAATCGTTTGAACACCTAATTTTGGTAATTATAATCACTTAGAATTGTCAAAAACCAACATAAGAAATCCGTAATAATAGATAATTTACGCCTACGTTTGGATGCCGGTATCTCAATTGGTGAGGTTTGCTGTAACAATTGGTTGTCTTAACTTCTCAGGCAGTGTTAAACTCATGACTCCCTTCTGAGACTTTAGTTTAGGTCACTCGCTAATAACAGAATTTTGCAGTTTTTGAGAATTTAGCGTGTCTGAAGTGTTTGCGAAAACTTGTTATAAAAATTTACACCTAACCTGAAAGCAGCACCTAACTTCTTGTTGTTCCGACTTTCGATACGAAAATAATGGAATATTTTTGCTCGGGGGGGTTTTTTTTTCTTCAGACAAACTTCGACTTTCTAACTAGCTAGTTTTGACGAAACTTTTTTTTATCAATCGAAAACTTTTGTTGTCCTGAGCTTAAATTTGAAAAGATATTTCACCCGTGAGCATTTTTTGTTTTTTTTCGTCAACTTATGGGGGTTTAACAACTGCCATTTTGGCCAATTTGGGACAATTAACGCGTGATGTATTTCGCGCAATTAATGCGTAAGCGGACATTAAATCCGTCTTAGAAATAGTTTCAAAATGGTTGAAGGAAGCTTATTTGCCATGATTCAATTGTTAATAGGTTCGAACTCTATCATTTTTTAGTTCATATGGCATGTGGGGAGATGATTTCCGCAAAAGATCTTAAATTTAAAAAAAATTATTTTTTATTTATTTTATTTTTTCAAGTTATTTCTGCTCCCTCGACCTTAAAAGGCAGTCGGAACATTCAGGGCTTCGCCCTGATACGAGCAGTCTTGTCTATGTATCCCTAAAAATAAATGGCAAAATCAAGACTTAAGGCCGCCATGTAATGCCAAATCTGATTGGCTGAAAAATATTACTTTTAAGCAAGTGAATTCCCCTCCCCTAAATTTATTTAGGGGAGAGCTTATTCACTTAGTCCGAAACCTTAAATTAGAAAAAGCAGTAGAATCATGTATAGGCTCCTCCGTGCCACCTTGACTGACAAAATAAATCTCTCAATCTACGAATATATAAAAAAAATTGATTGAGTAAAGTTTGCAATTCCCAAAAATCTGAATCCACCTTCAGATGAATCAAGTACTAAATAGTAAAGAAAATGTAACATTTTTTTTTCATAGGAAGTTCGAAGACATCATGGACCTTACATTGAGGACTGAAAACAAAAGGATGAAAATAATTGGATAGGGTCAAACAAATGTTGTTTTCTTGTTTTTCAACTCATTCAGCTCAAAACATTCCAATTTCAATGTATTTTCATAATGCTACCTCGTCTGTTGTTTGTTCCGAACGATAATCGAATAAAAAAAACTGTTTAGTGATTGCAATTCTTTTAGAGGAGATAAGTATGATTACTTGGGTTTCTTTAATTTTAGAAATTTTTCAGTAGCCAAAAATATTCTGACCAGGCGGCACCAAAGAAGTATTTACAAAAAATAAATTGATGCAAAATTTTATTGCAATTACTTGTTGAGTAACTTAACGTTGAATAATTCAAAGTAATTCCAGAACTGATTTTCTAAAAAAAATTGTTAAACGAAATTTTTTTGAAAAACATAACTCAAAATGATCAAGATGAGAGCAAAAGAATACAAAAATGGTCTGCAAGTAATGTATTCGTTCTCAAATGGTTGTTTTTGTTTTTTTTTGCTTTTAAATAATTACTCCCGATGTATAAAACTGCTTGTAAAAGAAAGTTTAACATGCAGCCTTGTTTAACTGCATGTAAAAATCGCTTTTTGACGTAGATTGGGCCTTTATGAACATAGTTTTCAAAGCTAGAAAACATTTTTAAGGATCTTATTTCAACTGTCTGCGCTTCTAACTGTATTTACAAAAAAAGATGATGCCCTGAAAATTTCCAAAAGTTTCTCACAAAAATTTAGCGAAAAATGTGAAAATAATGATTTCTTGTATAGCTTTTCCTATTTTTGTTATCCTTTTTTGAGCAAAAATTTCATCAACTTATGATCTTTATTTCCTTCTTCATTTCAATTTTGTACCATTTTAAAAAAGTAATCCAGAGGACGCGCAAACGTTGACCAGGAAGCGGGTTAACTTTGAATTGTGAAGATAGACCAAAAATGCTAACCATCTTATTCTATACACTACGTTTATGAAAAAAAAAAACTAAACACACAAACTTCAAAAATTTTTAAGATTAATAAAATTTAGAAGATAGTTTTTTTGGCATGAAAATTGCTGTATCATTAGAAAAAAGGGCGGATTTGACCCCCTTTACAGAAATCGACACCATGATTTTTTTGAAAACACTCAAATTCTTATTTAGTTTGTTTTGATATGATTTATGAGTTCAAAGTTGACACTCGAATTTAAGTTTTTTGCTAGTTTTTGTAAATATTTAGAAGTGTGATATTTTCATAATATTTTTTGGGTGAAACAGTTATATCAGGTCGTTTTAATAACCTTGTAAAGCCAGATCGTTAATCATTTGGTGACTCAAGCTTTGCGTTATCAAATCTCCGTCACTTGCGGTCGGTTATGAACAAAACCCAAAAATTTCAAAATTAATTATAAGAAAAATAAACTAATTTGATCTTAGGAAAAATGCTTGTCATAAAGTTTTTATACTCCTAATCATAAACTATTCAAGAAGTTTTCTGATCTTATGGACTTACATGAAGTTTGTATAATTATTTTTTTCTGTATAGGAAATTATATGACTAGCATTTTTGGTCAACCCGGAGAAATAATTCGGGACAATTTCTCAAAATGAAAATAAATGTAAATCAACCAGTTGTGCGAAGTAAAGACATTTCCGTTTCAAGAAAAACTAGAGTAAATTTTCTAGAAGCAAACAGGTTTTAAAAAACAAAAAACAAACTCATTGCAACAAATAATGTGATTGCTGCTTTTTGTGCTACTTTCACAAAATCTAAAAACCTGTTTCACAAATATTTTTTATAAACAAGCATCCTTGAAATATGGCCTCATGTATATTCAACGCAACTCTGGCTCAACAGCGGAAAGTTGAATGACCGCCAAATAAAGATTTAGTGATATCCAATACTTGCGATACTTTGTCCTTATTTCGATTTGCTGCTATTTAAAGAACCGTTGTTTGTAAAATTATTTATCATAAACAGCAATTTGGAAAAGTATACTTATTTTTTGTTTCTTCGAACTTTGTTTCCTTTTGTTTCAGGGGCGGATTTAGGGGGGGGGGGCGGACGCCCCCCCCCCCCTCAGGGATTCGACCCCCTGCCGACCCAAAGGGTCCCCCCATTGATACTTTTTCAGAAATCCATTTTTGGCCGACCGACCCTAAAGTTTTTCTAAAATCGCCTTAGGCGCCAATATATACCAACTTTGAGGGGGAGCGCGCGCCAAAAAAACGCGAATTTTTTGTCAAAATTTTTCAAAAAGGGCCAAAAAACGGCTTTTTTGACTGTTTTTTTCAAAAATTTGCCTGCGGCGCACAAAATTTAGCCAAAATAGGGGCAAAACAGTGCTTTGGGAGAGATCGAAATCAAAAAATCAATTTGGTCGACCAAAAAAAAAAGTTCGTCAAAATTTTGGAAACATTTTTGAAAATCCACCCCCCCCCCCTCGAGAAAATCCTAGATCCGCCCCTGTTTTGTTTCCCTATTTTTTTTTCAACCAAAACATTTAAATTACAAACCTGCGCAACGACAGGCAGTGACATCCGGAAGAACTTTTTCGGACCCATCTGGAGCAGGGTGAATGTCAGAGTAGCGTTGGGCATGAAACAAAACACATACAGCAGCGTTATTACGATGAACACTTTAGCCGATCGCTCAGTCATCAGCTCGATCGCTGTCTTTGCCGGAGAATTTTCTTTTGTCGAGATCTGGGATCCTCTGGAACCCCCGGGCTCCTTGGATCCCCCTTGCTGCATTTCAACCGACACTTTCAATTTATTTGAACTCATCTGCAGCTTTTCGTTTTCGTCCTCGGGCACTTTGTGTTCAACTAAATGCCCGCCGCCGTTTCCATTGATGTCGTCAACAGGTATAGTCGCGGTAGTCACGTTAGATAACTTGGCGAAGTTGACTCTTCTAGCGTTCCGCAGTCGCGCTTGATTTGATCGTTTACGAAGAGACAAGTAAGCGGTTAAGTAGAGAATTCCCATTAGGATGAAAACAATGAAAATAGTCGACAGGTAAATGAGCATCGAAAGTCGACTCCATTTGGGATTATTGCATAACACTGCAAGAATCGTCGCAACTATCGAAGCTGCGACGTTTGCCAGTGTCATATTACAAGTTTGTCTGAAGTCGATGTTAAGAACGTTTACAAGACAGATTTTGGAATATCGAAATAAAGCGATGTTTAGCAATGACAGAGCAGAGGATGTTTCGAGGAAAAACGTGACGACAAACATGAATTCCGAGGGTCCGTCGTTGCAAGCTGGAGACATGAAATGAGCTCCTTCGAGAACGAACACGACAGTTGTGGCGCAGAGGTCAAGAGAGGTCAACACAGCAATTAAGAAATCCGAACCTGATTTGCGAATGTCGCGAAACAGAACGTGACAAAGCACGACTAGAACCGAAGTGTTAAGAAAAGATCCGACGAGAGCAGCCGAGTAAAAACCGATGCCAATAGTCGTGCATTCTAAAGGGCTGAACCAAAAAACGGACTCGAACTGCGACAAATTTGAGTTCAAAACTGGCCCTGTTTCTGTTGTGTTATTTGAAAGTATTGGTTGGAATGACATTTTGAATTTATTATCTGTTGAAACAAATCTGGGGCTAAGCAATGATAAGATTTTCGAAGGTGTAATAACGAAGTATTTCAAACAAGAAAATATAAGTGCGGCTGAAAAATAATTGGCACGTTTCTCGCGGATAAGTTGATATTAGAGATGAATTTTTGTCCAGAGCTTAATTAACAAAGTAAAATGAAAATAAAAACTACAGTTTTCTTGTATGAAAATTATTCTTCTTAAAAATTATCAGTGTCAAAAAAATGCCTGATTTCTTGATTTTAATTGAGTAACGAGTTTTTAAAATTTTGATGACTCTCAGAAGAATTATTAGTTAATACTTATTGTTTTTATGCCTGCAAAGCTCCTGCTGAAGTTTCTAAAAATAAATAAATATTCGACAAATTAACTGGGACAATTAAAAAATAATTTTTCCTTTTTGATTTCTGAATTTAATTAATCACTGAGGTTTCAGACTCTTGTAACTAAGAAAGTAACCCAATATTAATGATTTTTATAAATAAAGATGGTAAAAAATACTCTGTTTTATTATTTTAAACAAAATGAGCTTTATAAATTTCTTTTTTGCCATTTTTGAAGGCCGGAAAAAGCAATGCTAATGCTTCATTTTGATTGGCTAAAATTTCAATTTTTAAAAAAATCAAACGTTTTTTTTTTACTTCAAAAAATGAAAGTTATTATCAGCACTAGCCATCAAAAATGTACTAAATTATACCGAGATCCATTTAGAGAGTGCGCAATCTATTTAGAGTACCTTTTCAGCGGGAAGTTCAAAAAATATTTATTATAATATGGACGATCTAATTGTTTATGGTCGTAGGTATGCTAAAAGTTATTATGCACCTTCGATGGATCTCCATTTTCATTTAATTTAATAATTCAATAGGAATAAATTATCATTGCATCGGAGTTTATGAAGGAACGTTTGCAGTTATGGCAAAACCAGCTGTTCTTTAGTGAGAAAAAGTTCAAACGGCCGAAAACTTCTACCCACTATATGCCGCGACAATGAAAAGATTGGCGGCACAGTAATAAGTATGTGTGCGTACCATGAAGTTTGCTCAGATGAGAAAATGTCTCGTGGGCTTAAATGATGGTTGAATTTCTTACGAAGAATTAGAAATTCGGTGAACTGCACCGTTGGTCAAAATTGCAGCTTTGGACATTGCAAAAAAAAAAGCTTTTTGTATATCAGAAGAAGACTGCTTCTTCTCACTTGTTCACTAATTTGGTTTTTGTCCGATAACTGTGAAATGGAAAAAATTCATCCTCTTCAATATTGAATACAAATTGATGAAAATTTTCTTCTTAACGCCAATGTTGATTTAATTAAGAGCTTGAGCTTAATACAGATTGAGCTTTTTCTCTGTAAAAAAACTCGTAAAGTGGGTTCCAGTTAGACAATTTCGGAACGAAAACTTATAACTAAATTAAACTATTTGTAAAAACAGTCTAAAATGGTGTCAAAAGTAATTAACAGTTAAATTCATTGATCAAAATCAATAACAACAAACGAACAGCAACAATACTAAATAGAAACAAAAATATGGTATTAGATTTAGAGGTTCAGCAGCAACACTGAATCGACCAGTATATCAGTTCATTCTTTTTTTTTGGGTCTTCCAATGACATCTATAGTGTCGAAGATAGAGTCAAGTTGAAACCACTGTTCAACTGGGGCTCTTTCGACTTCGACAGGAGATGGGGAGCCTTTGCAGCTTTGAATGAGACCGTCGAAGCAATTCGGTTGAATGTGGTATTTTAGGACAGCCTTGCAAGTATTCAATTCGTTCAATTTGCGGAGCTTAATTCTGAGGTCAAAGGCGGCATCTCCAAGGTAATCGTTTCAAGAGGCCTCAGTTCACAGCGTTGGTTTGTCTATGTGTTCACATTTACCCGAGCTTTCTTCCTATTTTTGTTCCACTACGCTGGTGAACACCCTATCTCCCAGTAATTATAGCGGTTGTGTTGCTCTTAGTGGACGATTGTTGTGTCTGACTGTTTCGATGGTATCGGTGAGTTCATAGGATGGCGCATTTCGTTTCGCGCCATCTGAAAGCTTGTCACTCTTTCTCAACGACTTTGCTTAAGCTAATTTTGCCGGATATTTTAAGGCGATTTTTCTCAGATGGTCGTTTTTTTTCCAATTTGTCTCTGAACTCACCACCTCGACCGGTCGAAATTTTTGAGATGGCGAAAGGATTATTTCCCTTTTTGGTTTGATCGATTTTTTTCAGGCCTGAGTGGCAAAAATGAAGTGGCATTAGCAGTGCTGCTAATAATCGTTGGCTGTTCACCGGTGCTATAAATAAATTGGTATGCAGTGATGTTTGAAGCTGTAAATTTGTTGGGACTACTGTTAATAACTGCAGGGCTCGGTTTGTCCAGCTTCCGGTTTGTCCAGCTGACGATTAAGCGTAGAGGTTCTTTTGAGGTTATCAAGAAATTGAGACTCACTTGGATCATCATCAGAATTAGAGATAGTATTCCTGTCGAAGATTCTTGTTCATTGCATATTCTGGTATGGTAATAATCTCTGGGTTCGCTTAAATTCGCATATTGTCAGGATCGAGCGTTGTTTTCAGACTAATCAACTGAGCTTCTTCTATCTCTTTTATAAGGGTGTCTTTTGAGCTACACACCGCTGCGCTCCTTCCTGCGATATTTTTTTTAATTCGGCCAGATTATTTCTGCAAATTATTTTGTTTTGCGAGCTTCCAACAACTATTTTTCGGTCACTTGTTGCGTAAAATTTTTTCAGTTGACTTTTCATTCTCGAATTGACTTGTCTTTTTACTGCTGGTTTCGTATTTGGCCTCTTGACAGCAGATAGGTTCTTTAACGGTATGACTAGGGCTTCATGTTTATCCGATTGTTCTAAAGTCTTCACAGAGTTACCGGCACTTGTGGGGATATTTTTTGTCGCTTTTGTAAACTTGTCTGTAGTTTTTCTGATAATCGTTTAGGATGACTGTTTTTATGGTCCGGGGCATCCCAATCAACCCCATCAGCTTCACTTAAACGCTGAATCCCTTTATCTAATCCTAGAATAATCTGATCAGAGTTCAATTTTCATTTTAATGGTTGTTCAACCGACTCATGCCCGGTTTTGTCATGTCCTGCTGAAAGTGGCTTCAACACAAACAGTTCGAAGATCGCTGCTGAATATTTCAAAAAAGTTTCAAATTGTTAACGTCGCCAGTTTAAGAAAGAGTTTTTTTTTCTTGAGCGATTTGAATCTGCTTCCCTTGTGAGTTAGTAAAGGTTACTAAGACTTCTAACGAAGTTGTTATTAGAATTTTCCACAACCCCGTTTCTTTTACTTCTTGCGCGGTAAACCTGATCCTGGTATATCTGATGATTATAGGAAAGCCAAGCAAAATGCTATTTAATTTTGTGAGAAGTTGATGATAGTTCTTTTGATGAGCTGCTATTTGTAGTTTGGGCTGAAAGAAGTTTAGAAAAACGAGCGTTACACAAACTATGAGTAGGAGCACAGCGAAGAAGACTTACATATCTTCATTTTGCCACTACGGGTAGTAGTTTGCCAAAATCTAAATCAGGTAACAGTGGTCTTAACTTCTTATCCGTTTTCTCACGTTCAATTCAGTTTTATCCGTAAACCTTTGTCTCAAGATGTATCTTTGGCCACCAAACATACTGCAAGCAGGCTATACGGTTTAGTTTGCAAATTGCCACTGATTTGCTCCGTGGAGTCTTGCTAGCATTCGTACTTTGAAATACGCTGGGTTAACCAACTTTCCATGACTTTGCAAGTCTATTGTCGATAAAAACTTTGCAATAATTTCGCGCTCGTGCAATATCCTGTTTTTGATAATGAACAATTGCTTTTTGATTTTTTCCAAATATCATGTCTTTTCTTTCAGTGAAGCCATGAAGCTGGTATCAATTCTCTCTGGCCATTTAAAGAGAATGTTTTCAGTTAAGGTTAGGTTCCTGATAGTCTGGCGAAAAAGTGTTTTGGATGTGTTTTAAAGTGATATTTTCTGAAGTATCTCATGAACCGGAAGGTGACAATTTTGGAACAATCATTGTTTTTAAAACTACAAATTTTTAAGGCTGACTGTTTGCTTGGCCTGTTCGCGTAATCATTCGAGCTGTTTAACGGCGTAGCCAATAAGTTGTTCTCGTATGGATTCCTTGATGACCTTTCCTTCTTCAATCTTGTTTTTGTCAATCTAGTTCTAGTTTTGCCGATCACAAAGCACTATTCGTGGGCGCTAAAACTTCTATTTAAAAAAAATCCCTCGCTGTTTGGTTCAGACTTTCATCTTACCTTGTTTAATAAAAATGGAGGCTTATATCATCGATTGAAGCTCTGACAAATGTTTCATGACTTTTCGAGATTGCCCTAGATTTGTTTGGTGGACGGCAAGAATGTCTGGATGGTAAACAAAGAATCCCATATCTGTCATACGTTTAACTCAAAAATCGTTTAGAAAAGACAATAATTAATCTGCCCGTCTTTTTCAGCTCTTTGGGTTGTTTTTGCTTACGTACCACCACGCAAGGCTCCAATAAATTCTTTATGGTTTGTTGCACTTTAAATTAAGATCCCAATAAGTAGCTTTGACCATACGAAATCAAACAGCTCCAATTCTTTTGTGTTGTTTTTTTAGCAATCTGCAATTAAAAAACGAGAAGGGAGAGCAAATGGTTTCCACACACCAGTGTGAGTTTGTTAAAAAGAAGCCCCAAATTCCAAATGTCACGCGTTGCAAATGCTTTTGTTTTCTCTTAAGCTTTGAATCTACGACTTTTTACGTCCTTCGAGACTTCTAATTTGATTTGGTCTAAAGCAGTTTTGTGTTCTTAGTCCATGAAAGTTGTTTTCTTTTTGCTTCAGATTTCTAAATGGTGATTGAAATGTAGCGAGATTTTGGAGCAAGTTTTTATATTGATTTATAGATCACATCAAGGGTCTGATTCTCTTATGCTTGTC